AATTTAATAAATTAAATGCAAGTATTTATTACTAATATGTTGTAATAAAATGCACTAGATTTGCTTAGACTGCTCCATATAGTAGCAAGATCAGCACCTGTGCTTTACTTTTTAAAGCTTATTTCCTGGATTACTTGGGAGAATCTAAGGCCTTGTATTCTTCCTTCAGAATTCTCTGTGTGGATATCAGATCCGAATGGAATCTCGAGCTTGTGAATCTACCAGGTTACTCTATTGTACAACAGGCGTTTTGCTAAGGAAACTTCAGGAAGACGGTCTTCTAACTAATGTGTCTCATGTTATTGTAGATGAGGTGAGTAGATTTTATAGTTGCATCCAGAAATTTGAAATATTTTTGTATTAAAGAGATGTTACTTTTAATACTAACATTTTCTTTGTGCTTACCAAATGCCAGATACTTCATATGTAATAATGTAATTTCCTCTAACAAATGTCTCGTGTTAACTGATTTATTTCATAAATACTGTCTATTTGCTATATGCAAATTATCTATTTTGTATATAACTTATTTATGTATAAATTCATTTAATCCTTCCAGCAACCCAATGAAGTAGATATTATCTTTATTTTATTTATTTTTTTAAGAGACAGGGTCTAGCTCTGTCACCCAGGCTGGAGTGCAGTGGCACAGTCATAGCTAACTGCAGCCTTGAACTCCTGGGCTCAAGCAACCCTCCTTCCTTAGCCTCCCAAAATTCTGGGATTATAGGCATGAGCCACCACACCCAGCCTATCTTTATTTTAAATTGAGGTACAGAGAGGTCAAATAGTTCACTTCCTCAAGTTTACCTCGCCAGTAAATTCTGCAGCTAAGGGTTCAAACCCAGGCAATCTGGCTCCAGTCTGTGCTCTTAGCAGTATACTGTCATCATGGCTGTTACATTTAGTTGTTAAATGATCTGCTCTAATTCTTATAAAAGATAAGAAATCTTCATCAGTATGTCATTTTCTCTATAGATACATCCCGACTTGAATCAAATTTGAATGCACATTTAAATTGAATTATGCCAAAAGTTTCACATAAGAATTATTTTTAAGTGGCATACCAGCCTAGTCTGTGTAAATTAATTTTCTTCTTTCAAGAACAGACAAGATATATGGCATTTTTGTTACTCAGAAAATATTAAAAATTTTGCTAATGTAAAGTTTTTCTGAATGTCTGTTAATTCACTAAGTTTAGAAAGCAATAGTGAAAGTTTAGTAATTCATTGATTTTAATTAATGGGCTACGTATAGATTATTGGGTTATTTTCTTCCTTTTGGCTCAAAATACTGAAGCATAGAAAGGTAGGAAACTAGCTCTCTGGGAGGCCGAGGTGGGCGGATTGTTGGAGCTCAGGAGTTCGAAACAAGCCTGAGCA